GTCAAGCAACTTGGCACCTGGCTTCAGTCGTCTGGACGGTCGTCCATGGTAAACGCAGATGGCACAATCAACCTTGCAGTTTTTTCCTACAACGACTTCACCGAGTTTATTCTCTACAAGTACAAGCATGCTGGAGTGTCCTTATCAACTCTCTCATCCTACCGGTCGGCAATCAAGGACCACTACAACTCACAGAACGTGCCACTTCCCAGAGAGTTCGCAACAGACGCTACTGTCATATACCAAGGTACATTGCCCACTTTATAGTTCTGGAGTACCAAACCTCAAACAGGGATTCGACGGCTTTGCGCAACTGAGACCCAAGCCGGGGCCATCAAGCCAAGTGGGAAACAACCTCTTCGATTCCACCAATACCAAGTTTTGTGCAAGCACAGCCTTTCAAAAATGGACGCTGGTTTCACTCATCTCTATCTTGTCCTCTCATGGAACCTTATGTGCCGCTCAAGGTCCACTGAGTCTGTGCGAATTGACCACTTGTCCGACGAAGGGGACGCAATTGGAGTGACCTTTTTCAAGTCCAAGACTGATCAAGGTGGGACCAAACGTCGTGATCCGAAGCACGTGTATGCAAACCCCATGCGTTCTGAAACTTGTTGCATCCTTGCCTTGGGGATTTATCTTGCCTGCAACGCTCAGCACGACTCTGGGAATCTGTTCCCTGGGAAGTCGCAGCGTGATCGCTTTGGGCGAAGTCTGTGTCAGCTTGTTGGTGTCGCACCTCCGGCTGCTTCCAGCTCTGTTGGTACTCATTCGCTTCGCAAGGGTGCCGCAACCTACGCAATTGGTGGAAGCACATCGGGCCTTCCATTGTCAATGTCTGCATACGGTGTGGTTGGTCCATTGGCAGCGTGGTAGAACGATACGTTCATTACGACGGTGCCGTTGGTCGAGTCGTCGCTGGTCTTCCACTGGAATCTGGAGGCTTTGCAGTTTTCCCTCCTCACTTTGTAGCTGGCAGTGAACCCATGGCTGCCAACGCTGGTGCTGTGGTTTTCAAGGTTGTGGGTCCACGAAGAGCTCCGTGGCTTGTTGAAGCTCTGCCTGGACTCACTGGTCTACCAGAATTCTCGGAGGCCTCTTTGCCACCCTAGCATCAACTTATTGCGTCTGTACTGTTTGGAGACTTGACCTTGGCCAACACCTTGGGTTCCATGGTGACTCTTGCCTCCAACATTTTGCAGCCCACCGGAATCCCTCCACATGTCGGTCTCCACGCCCAGCTGGAGCAAACGTCGGTCCTTGTGCGTACACTCCCAACTGAAATCTGTGAAGGCATCGAGAAGATCCTTGAAGACAAAGGTGTGACCGCCGGCAACATCACTCAGTCGTTGCTTGAAAAGTTTTTGAAGGACGCAGAGGCCTCCGTCGTGTCGTTGACATCAGCGAGCAATTCTACCACGGTCGAAGTCACAGACGAATCGATTCCAACCCGCCCTGTACTGGGGGGGCGATGGCACAACCTTCCTGAAGGTTTTGAGATGCCATCGGCCGATGTTGCAACTGCATGGCATGTTTGGTGGTGTGGCTCACCGGTACGCGGTTTGCCCCCGCTGTACAAGCTAAGTTCCCGCGACATGTCAAAGAAGCAAGCCAAGATCCTGTGTGAGTGGAGTTTTGCGATTGATGAGCTGCAGAAAGTTTATTTCAGCGCAGCTGAAAGAGAACTGGGTCGTCCAATCAATTCTGCCTCAGTCATATCTGCCTTCAGCACCATCATGACTGCCTTGCCTTCGTCGTGGGACAGACTCAACTGGGACGACAGCGTCGGTTGTCTCAGTTGAAGATGGTCACGTTTGCGCGCCTAGCTAGAAAGCGTAGACGAGAGTCGTAGGTATCTAAATCGAATTCATGTGTGCATCATTGCTTCGTGTCAGGTTGTGTCCAAGATTCATTCGATTTTGAGCCAATCATTGTAGAGTCGGACCCCTGTCCGACTTTTTTCGATTACAACACATTCACTGGATCTTACAGTTAATTTGGGAACAGGATACTACGGTAATACAGTTCTATTTAACAGGTATACTATGATTTTCAAACTTCGTCCACAGAGCTCAGTAAGCCACAGAGATTTCGGAACGCGTCCTTGACTATTCGGCCATCTTCACGTGCCATTTGCACGCTTTCGGAGGCCGGAACAGCCGCGAAAACTTGCATGGCGCATGGGCCTTCGATGGATTCAACGGCCGTCCCTGCGCGTGTCATTGGACACATTTTGGTTCTTTCTTCCAATGGAATGCCAGTAAAAATGTCAGTAACGTGTTTGCATACTTGTAGAACTCAAAATGGATTAGTCAGATATTCTTAGATAATCAATTATTCTATACTACGTAGTATATTGTTAAGAACCACTCTAGTCTTTTCCGGTCGAAAGGCTGTTCCCATAGTAGCTCACAGCTGTCAAATCTGATTTTAATCAGAGTACGCATTAAAATGTGTACAGTACTTTCGTATTGATAAAACTACAGTACTGTACTCGGACAACACATCTACACTTTGTTCCGATTACTCTCCAATCCAGGAAGTAATTCCCTGTACAGTACTGTACTACATGTAGGACAACACATCTACACTTTGTTCCGATTGCTCTCCAATCCAGGAAGTAATTCCCTGTACAGTGA